TTTTTTTTAAATGGTTATAAAATTGATATAATAATGCATAATAAAATAATGTGGTTATAGATTAAAATTTACTTTTAGGGTGTGTTCACTTAGAAGAATTATTTGGGAGAGAGTATTTTGTCTCACTACTTTTAAAAATTGATTTCAAAATTATTTCATTCATTTTCATGTTTTTAATTATGTCTTATTTTAATAATTTGTCATTATTATATTTAATGCTCATTCATTATTAATACTTGATTAAAAATTTATAATTATTTATAAATATATTGATAAAATCAATTACAGTTTATTTCCGTACTCCATAACCATATTACATTCACCTTAATCAATGCTTCTCATTCCATGAACTATAATTTCTTTATGAATAGAGCAACATTTTGTACCAAAGACTACTTTACTGTTCTCACCAATAATAGGGTTCTTAAAACGGTTCACTGTGACGACTAAGAAACAAGTAGAGACAAATTAAGCTCAAAAATTTGTCTGTTAAGTTTGGCCTGTTAGGTCCGAAAAAGCATACGGATTAAGACTGGGTTAGCTTGTGATAAATATTTCTTTTTCGAAATTTTATTTTAATTTGTCCAAACTAGTACATGGGTGACCTTAAGCAAAGAGAAAGAAAGTCAAATCATGTTTATTTCTTTTTGCTAACAGAGATAAATTAGTAAAAGATTATAACCTCTATTCAGATAACCTAAACCTTTAAATTTTGTAGCTATACATTATGCTCAATCTCTCATTTTGGTAGTACTAAATAAACATCAACAAACACTCATTTTTATGCTAAGCTACAAGAGTCATGTTTTTGTCTCAAAAACATGTCAAGCGTGTATTTGTTTAAAAAATTATCATAGATTTGTTTGTTTCAAAAATCATGTCACCATATGTAATTGTAATATCATGTGGTGAGATGAACAATAAAAGAAATTGAAAAAATGAGGTGTGCAATGAAGGAAGATTAGGGTGAAATTCAATCCCCTCTAATTTTTTTTAGGTTTAATGTCTCCGTAAGTCCTTATTTTGGCCCGGAATCTCAATTAAGTCCCCTTTCTTTTTACCGTCTCAATTGGGTTATCATTTTTGTAAAATTGTAGCAATTAAAGGCCTACCGTCAAATTGGACAAACGACCGTTTAATTGTTCGTTATGTGGCATGGGCAGTGTTTTCAGTAATCACAGGTGGAATTAAAAAAGAGTTTTGTATTAAAAAGTATGAGGTTAAATCAACTTTAGGGAAAGGGCATAGTGGGAAAACTCATTATGATTCCCACTTCAATCATTCATTGTTGTTCCCCTTCTCCTTCTCATACACCAGAACAGAACACAAAAACAGAACACCAGAAAATAAATGATACAAAATCTGAACCTCAAACCACTCCTTCAGCTCCACCAACTGTTCCAAGACGACGTCGAAAACCTCTGCCGCAAAGTCGCGATCGGGGTCGAAACGTGAATCGTCAGAGTTGGAGGAGGAGACGAATTTACAGAGGACCAGGGCGACGCCCTCGGCGGAGAGAGTCTGGAGGAAGGTTCTGGAAGGTTCCCAGGAGGAGAGGGAGTCCTTGACGCCGGTGAGTCGGAAGCCGAGGGGAATGGTTGAGGTGGTTATGTCTTTGTTGAGGCATTTGGTGATGTAGTCTTCGGAGTGACCGAGGTGCCAGGTTCGGGAGCCGATTTTGACGTCCATGACGGAGGGTTTAGTGTAGGGGGCGATGAGGTCCTGGAGGAGAAGGTGGGTGTGGGGGCCAGAGATATTATCCACCATTTAAAACCATTTTCCAATTTCCAATTTTCCACCTCTTCTCAAGTCCCAATCAAAAAAACACTAAATCACACAAAAATGGAGATATTATCACAAATGTGGTCTATGTTAGGGTTACTCACCGTGCTCCAAAACGTTCTCCCATCCCAGCTTCTCTCATTGCTCCATTCCTTATACGAATCTCTGCAAGATCTGCTTTCTCCATATTCCTATTTCGAGATTCCAGAGTTCAACGACTACTTAGGCGTCGACCTCAACGACCTCTACCGCCACGTGTACCTCTACCTCAATGCCGCAAACCACGCCCCCGGCGCTGTGTGCCGCCGACTAACGCTCTCTCGCTCGCCTTCCTCGAACCGCATCTCCTTCGCCGTCACCCCGAAACACACCGTCCACGACGCCTTACGCGGCCAACGCGTCACATGGACGCACCACGTTGAGACCGCGCAGGACTCACTTGAGGAGAAGCTTCACACTCCGCCTCCCGAAGCGCCACCGCCACTCTGGTTGTGTGTGAGAAGGAGAGGGGAAGACCAATTACTGAAGTGGGAATCGTAATGAGTTTTCCCACTATGCCATTTTCCTAAAGCTGATTTAACCTCATATTTTTTAATACAAAACTCTTTTTTAATTCCACGTGTGATTAGTGAAAACACTGCCCATGCCACGTAACGCACAATTAAATGGCCGTTTGTCCAATTTGACGGCAGGCCTTTAATTGCTACAATTTTACAAAAATGAGGACCCAATTGAGACGGCAAAAAGAAAGGGGACTTAATTGAGATTCTGGGCGAAAATAAGGACCTACAGAGACATTAAACCTTTTTTTTATTCACAAGTCTACAACAGCATCCCAATTATATTAATGTTTGGACACATTAGTATAAAGAAATAACATCTTTCAATTTTCTTTTATGTTTGAAATTTTACTAAATATTGTTCAAATGGCAGTTTGTTTATTGGTTAATAATAATACATGGTGCTCCCCTCCTCAATTGGATTCATATATGTTACTGTCTAAATGATCATTTGTTCACTAGTGAAAAAATAACATACTATGACGACCTATTATGAAGGGTGAAAACCACCAATCATAATAGGTTGATTCGTGGCAAAAAATATAATAAAAGTTAGACATATTATGACGTAGTTTTGTACATTACTCATAATATGAAACGCGGTGGAAAACTTATAAATAAGTTTAAAACATATTATTACGTAGTTATGGACACCAGTCATAATATGAAACACGATGACAAACTTGTAAATAAGTTCAAAACTTATTATTACGGAATTATGGACATCTGTCTTAAGGTTGAAATTTTTTTAATGTATTATGACTGATTTTTAGAAACCAATCATAATATATATCTCTCTCTCTAATTATCTCATTTCCCTCTCACTATCTCACGTTCTCCCCTAATTTCTCTTCCCTCCCTCTCTTCCTCACTCTCATTCGTCGTAATACACCATAACCATTGAACCATTCTTCCTCTCTTCCTATCTTCTTCACTCTTCATCATTTTCTGTTTACTCAACCATTCACTCTCGTTCTGTCGTTCATCCACCATATTTCTCATTCGCGTAGCCTCACGAGAGTGTTTCTCTCGTCTCCATCATCGAAGGCTCTCGCTGCCTCTCCATCATCTCGTTGAACCACAGTTTAAGCGGTAAACACTTTCCTTTACCTCTCAGCCTCTCACATGCATCTTTCACCCTCAACTGCTAGGGTTTCATCTTCTCACCTTTTGATCGATTGTTTTACCTTTTCCTTCATTTTTCAACGATTGAAATCGATTCCCTCAGTGTTTGTTCCGGTTAAGCAGTGATTTGACCCGCTTCAAAGAAAGCTCCATAGGAGTTGAGGTAGGAGCTAACCAAGGTAGATGTGGCTGATGCTGCAAGTGTAGCTGCGTTTTCATTCCCCTTTTGAAGTAAGGGCTTTTGTTTCATAATTACTCTCTCAGGTAGGCAACAACTTCTTTTGCCAATAACTTAATCTCTTCTTAATATAGTTAATGAATAGCCAACTGAATGAAGTATAATATTTTTTTTACCTTAGCTTTGAAATGTTGAAGTTGTAATATGTGAGTACGAAGATGGGTAATATGTCTTCCATGAATTGAAATTATATGTCATTTTACTCATTCAATTTATGCACTCTAATTGGCTATGCATTGTTTGTGATTCATTCTTTCAAAGTAGAGCCTTTACCAAGTTTACAAACTTAAATGTAAGGTCTATTTCTAGTTCAAAATTATTTCTAGTACAAACTTAGATATTGGATTTTTATCAAAAAGTGATGAAAGAATATGACAACATAGTTTATTAGAAAAAAGTTGTGTCAGAAAGATGACTAAAAGCAATGTGTAATCATGGCTAGGAAGCAATGTGTATTCACACTTCATTTATACACATAGAGGCACAAATTATTGTTTTGCATTATTATTCTCTTGTTGATACTGTTATATATGGTCAAGGGAATGCTAAATGAAACATCAAATTGGGTAGATAAGTAGATGTTGTGGGTTATTTTGGTCGTATCTGATAATGGAAGAAAACTTTTGAAGCTTATGGTGACCATGGTATCCCCATATTACATAAAAGGAAAACAGAACCTACAAGAGAAACTAATTAATTTTAGAAAAATTGTGGTATGCTCTGCCAAAGTGATCTTTACTTTCAAGTCATTCTTTTCACCATTTGATCTCCACAATGAAAAACATAGTGATGTTAAATAACAAAAATTCAAAACATTTAATCCATAAACCAAAATACTTCAACCTTCTCTCAATTCTTTTTTCTTCAAAATTCTGCAAGTGTTGTTGTTACCTTTTTTCCATGTTTAAACATTATTTAGTTGAATCCAAGACAACACAGTTCATCTAAATCTAGGGTCATCCTTTCAATCAATCACTAAATCATATCCTCCTTATTTTGATCCACTGCTCAATTTTACTCAAATTATAGTTCAACTTCAATTGAGGAACAAAACATTGATTAAATGAATGATAAAAGGTAAAATCTACAGCAACAAAATTATAACTAATGATGAAACACATTAATTTTGTAGCTTCATTCTTATCTACACCTATTAAATTTTTTCACTGCATGTTAACTAATACAATCTTAGTGTAAAATAAGTTGGAATATGAAACTAATAAGATTCCTTCATATCTATCTACAATTATGCAGACTCGTTATATGCTCTGCATTGCACATGAAAAGAAATTTTGGTTTTTTGTCACTACCTAATGTATCTAGCTTAACCATACAACCTTCTGACTTATTGTTCAGTTCCCTTATATAGATCAATATCCTGCCTAACATTATGTTTAACACATCTTATTCCTACATCATTAACCATCATGATTGCAAAGGAATCTTATTCCTATTTATCTACCAATTTGGCATAACTATTAGGGGCATTCTAGTGTGTCTTTTATTTACCTCGTTACCTTACACCACATATGACCGACATAACTAACCCAACATTTTGCAGAACATACCTATCTCTCTTGTTTTGCGCTCTACAATGAACATCCTAGCCATACCTCTCTAAACTTTTGTATAGATTTTATACACAATTTGGCCAGTTGAAATATGAAAAACTACTATTAGAAATTTATTAGTTAACTGTGAGGAGGTGTCAACATGTCTTTCCTAGCATTGGTGATTCTATTTATGTTTAGTGGAGGAACTTTATTAAATTTGTTTGCCTCCAACTGCATATGCCTTACGTTGTTGCTATTGAAATTTTGTCCACAAGAGGCATCAAACATCAAGATATTGTTTTTGATAGGAACAAGGATGTTTGGAGATAACAAGTGTTCAATGACTGCTTGCTTGATAATAAGTTTGAGTACCGAAGACGAGAAATAGTAGTTCACCACGTCCTTATCCAGGTTCTTGTTAGAGCGAATGAAATGGATGAAGATTACATATGGTAGATTGAAAGGTAGGTCAACCATTATATGGCATATAACAAATCTACCCATATCAGTCACATGGTCTTTGACGTTGTTCTTATGCAGGAACTTCTTAAAACAGACGTGTTGAAGAACCTTTGCATAGGGGCATAGGTCTTTGTAAAGTATTTCCCTGTTAATATAGTCCTTTTTGAAATTTACATCATAAGGAGTATGTTATATGGTTCTGTTTGCAACAAACATTTCATCTCAGCCTTCAAAGTAACAATCATCGTATCTTGGGCATTCGATTGCGTCAACAATGACCTCGATGTTGGCAACCACCTCCTGACTAATAACCTTTGAGACAAGGCTGTTGAGATGCATCTCAACATTTATCCAAAATTGTCTCACTAGCTCTAGCAGAATGAGAGTATCCCAAGTACCTCACGATGCCACAACAATGAGCATCTTGGAGAACATAGTATTCATAAGCTATGAGATCTTCAAGATCCACCCAGTGATCAAGATAAAGTCTTACTAGCTTTTATTTAGTTACATGAATAATAGAGACACTTGTTGCAACTTCATATACCTCGTCAATTGAGATAGCAACATTTTGTGTAGCAGTCATGGTAGTGGTTGAAGGTTTTCCTTAGAGAGGGTTTTTAGCGATTTTAGGGTTTTGGAGAGATAAGTGCTTGAGAGAGAACTTAAAGAAACTTATGATCACTCATCTTATATCACTAGCTTGGGATTGAGTGGGAATTTGTTTCAAGTTGTGGTCCTATCAATTATCCTCCTACTTTTAGATGCTTGGAATAGATTTAAAGCTCTAGCTGATTATAATTAAAGTCCTGATCTTAGGCTCTAGGTTCCAGGAATGGACCTATAGTTACATTCAAAGTGAACTTCTAGGACATGATTAATTACAACTTCATAACTAATAACTAAACCTTTACAAGAGAGGGAAAAAGTGGTGAAATCTAGCTTCAATACGTCTTTATCATCCTGAAGTCAATCCTTTTCAAATCCAAATTGTTTTACAACACATTTTTACTACCAAAGTAGCTATGTTTTCATAGATTAATTATG